TAAAAGAGGGAACGAATCTTTACAGCAAAGGATCATTCCCACCTCCTCTATACACACGGTTGACAGGGATGGGCAACTTAGACATTGACTACTCAAAATGGGGGGGGGAGGCTACAAAGGCACAAAGTGATGAGCTTATAAGTTTTCAAGAGGGAGCTTAGTTTCAGAGAGTGCAGGGTAAGGTAGAATCTCCACTGAGTGGTTTCCAACCTGTCTAGATGGGGGTAGTAAAAGGAGATGGGGATAGAACTCTTGTAGTTCAATAGTGAATAATTGGTTGCAAATGTAAAGGTAGACATTTGGAACAAAAGGAGGGGAGTGGTTGATCTTGCAGTCCAGGAGTGGAAGACCCTAGGACCATCAAGGGAAAGTGCAGTGATGCCAAAGATTGAGGCAGAGGCAATGATGTGGAGAGATGGAGCAGCTGGGGACTCTAGACTCAAGGACAGAGAGGGGCTGTGTGCTGGCAGCCAGGGTGCAGGCTTGCCGGTTATGCCTTTTGGTTTTTTGAATGGTTATATATATTCCTGAGTGTTGTGGTGTACATCCAAAAAAAGCAAAACATAGAGGGGATGGAAGCAAATGTTGTTGAATGCTGATGCATGGAGGGGATTGTAATCATTGCAATGAAATGAAATATGATAGGATGAATGTAAAGCTGATGTTCTACCATGTAAACTATCATTCAATTCACACAAAAACTTAGGAAAAAAATGAAGTCCTTGGTTTCAAGGTTATTCAGTGAGATACCTACACCAATATTTCTATATATAAACAAAGATCACTTAAAACATTTAGAAAGGGTAAGAATGTACTATTGACTTTTTAATTTCATAAAGTTCTCTACACACAGATTCATTAGTTGTTTGTTAATCATACCTATCTTTTGAAGTATAACTGACTCTCATTTGCAGTAAAGGAGTTTTTGCATATTTAAATAATATTTTTGCCATAACTAAGACAGAAACCAAAGGAGCGTAGTGATTACGAATCGGGCTGCGAACCTTAAGGCCAACAGTTCGAAACTACCAGCGGCTCTGTGGGAGAAAGATGAGGCGTTCTGCTTCCATAAAGATTTACAGCCTCGGAAACCCTGTACAGGGTTGCTGTGGGTCGGAACCGACTCGACGGCACTTAACAACAACAACAAGACAGAAACCATAGCTAAGACCAACATATCCATTGTTTCAGATAGTATCCTGGTACCCAAGCCTGGAGTGTCAAAGTAAAGAGAATTGTTTTGAGTTAAAAATTTCCAGGCAACACAGGCAGAAAAGCTGTAAAACAATGATTTGCAAACTACCTGTGGTGTTTGCTAAACATTCAGTTTCTCCTCCCATTCCAGGGCAAATTCATCTGTCTGGAGTGAGATTCAGGAATTTCAGGTTTAACAAGCACCTAGGAGTTTCCAATGCTTCTGATCCAGACACCATATTATGAAAGACATTCCTCCAATTTATCAGGCACTAGAATAAAGGCTGAGTATCTAAGACAGATGTGGCAGAGGCAGAAATCGAATGTTTTTTTTGTGGCCTAGTTCAGGGTGGTAGGGATGAGTTATTTGAAACTCAAATGATAAAATTTTGTTTTGTATCATTTCACTTTGCTTTCTTATTGTCTTTAGAGTAGAGTCTCTCTTCTTTCTAGAATAACTGGTTTGAGTACAAAAGTCCTTATTTCCCAGGGAGTATTTTCACTTTAGCAGGAAAATATATTTCCTTTTAACTGCTTCTCCATTTGTTCAAGAGGTAACTTTTGGTTATCTTTTTGGTGAAATCAGACTGCCTGGCTTCAAATCTTGCACCTATTATCTCCTACGTGTCACTTTATGGCTCAGCTTTGTTACCTTTAAAAGAGGGGTAATAATAACATCTATGTCATGGAGTTGTTATGTGGATGAAATAATGAATAGAAATACAACACTTAGATAAAGTTCTATAAATATTTGTTATTACGTGTTGTGGTTAAGTCAGTAGACAAAATACCGGGGCATGAAGATTTAATGTGAAATTTGAGCAAGGTTCTGAGTTTTGGATTTAGGGAAATGAAGAATAATCTTTTCACAAATCTTCAGGAAACATTGGCTCTTCCACATTAAAAAAATAAACACAATCATATAAATAAGTATAGTACTCAAGGTACAGAACTGTTAAATGTCTTATTTCAATTTATAAAATAGTAATAAAAAAAGATTTCAGAAGGTACTCAGACATCATTTGACACAATTTGACAGCTGTTCTTCATAGCATTTTTTCCTTTTAAATCTAGGAAGAGAAATGCATTGTCTTAAAGTTAACAAAGATCTCACCCGCCAACAACAGGCTCCTTCATACTTGTGTTTCTAATCAGGACCCCTGGGACTGATTAATAGTGACAGTGAGGGTATCTTAGCATCTTGACACAGGAGCTTTGCTTCAGGGAGAAAATTCCATTATTTAAATAAATAATGCTGATAAGATAATGATAAATTGGTAATACAGGATGAGCATTTAAAACAGGCTGAGAAGATATCAAGACACTTAGACATGGGTAAGCTGAAAGTGAAGAGGACTTGAAACATTTACTTATGAAGATCAAAGAGCACAGCCTT